AAGCCTGTTTTAATAAATTTGTATTTTCACTACAAAATGCTTAGGTTTCATGTATTCTGCCTCTAAGGAAGAAAAATGATCACTGACCCTTCTTACCACTAAATTAAAAAACAGCCTGCTCCATCAGGTGGGGAAGGAAGCTGTATTCCTGGGAAGGGGCACGATCAGACTTAAGATCTATTTTGAAACAATGGAACAAAAGAACACCAAGTTGACTGCTTAACGTGCTTGTGGGACATTCAAACTGAAACCCCAAATACAGGCGTAATATGCCACTGGAAACGAGACGGGGGCTAAAGACTGGGAATCACCACTTCTGAACAGACTGTGACAGGCGCTAGAGGGTGGTTTTCATACCATTGTACTCTGACAATTGTACCATCTGGGAAAATGCTTTCTTCTTGTCCATCAGCAAATAAGTTTTTAATAGTTTGGTCAGGAAACGTGATTTCTTTCCTTCCATCTGGGAAATGTTTTTCTGTTTAAAAAATAAAGTATTTACAGTAACGTTTTTTAAAGAAAAGGAAGAATTTAATGAGAGAGCAGGGTAAGTTTGTACCTATTTGTCCACTTGAGAAATGTAAAACTTCTAGTCCTTCCGGGTACGTGGTGTGAGTGGTCTGCGCAGCTGCGTAGTAGTAGATCTGCAAAGACACAAAGTCAGGACGCCTTTTCCCCAGGGACGGTTAAGCTTTGGAGAACGGCCCTGTGGAAACGTACCACTCTCTCATCTGGCATGACCTGCTTGACGTCGCCGTTAAAGAACGTGACTGTGACAGTCTTCCCATCGGCACTCACTTCCTTCCGAGTTCCATTGGGAAACAGTATAACACGACACCCGTTCTTATAAACCTTTTCCACCTAAAAAAAACCCCACAAGATCGTCACTAGGGAAGATTTCCTCCTGATACCACGTGAACAAAAGATACCGTAATTCTCCTAATTGCCTACTTTTAAGTTTTTCACAGGTAAAATATTCTCTCGAAAGAGCCTTTATTTCATCAGGAGTTGCAAACTGATTTTCTCATTACTTTTCCATTTATTAGCTGGAATTCATCTAAAAGAAAACCTTTCCTTGTCAACACTTTGTTACCCTAAGGTAGACTTTGTACAGTAAAGTCTGACTCTTCTTTTGACTGCTGCTCTGTGTTCTCCTCTCATTCCTCAAGGCTAGCGGTGAACTCGGGCCCTAGGATTTCAATTAAAATGGATCGGATTGGGGTACTTGAAAAAGTAAATGTTCTGTAAACCTGAGGAAACTTTCCCTCGTCGCCTCCCTCTAACAAACCCTGTCTATGTCCCTTCCCTTCTCATTCCCCCTCTTAGCTGGAACCCCCGCCAGGCAGTTTTCCCACTGAGAAGCTTCCTAAGCACAGGAAGAAATTGTGCAGGCGGAGGATGGAGAGAGGGCCCCTGACCCAGGAGCTGTAGAAGGGCGGCTGCAGGAAAGGAAGGCCTAGAATGAACTGAGGCTTCTCAGAAGTGCCAAGGATTACAGAATCTGTTGAGCTCTGTTTGGAGCGGGAAGAAAAAGCTTAAACACAGGGACTGGGTTCCTCCTCTTGCTGCATCTCTAAAGCCAGAATGGCAACAAAATGCGTGTTGTGCACTGCGCAGTTTCAGTGAAGCCGAAAAGGTTCAAGCCCCAGGATCCTGAAGTGAAGTCACCATCAGTGGTCTTAAAGATAAATTATTTTGAATCTAAGTGTGTGATTCTATCTTATAGAATTCATCATTTAAAAAAATTTTTTGACCTTTCCGTCAGGATGACTGATTTCCCCCTGTATTTCTTCTTTTTCTCCCTCCTGTTCACGTTCGGGATCAGGGTCTGGCAAGTCCCCTGGTTCCAGCAGCTCCCCGGGGGAGGCGGCCTGTAAGGACAAGACGTCTCAGGCGGCTCACACCCACACGTGTTCCCAGAAGCCGGGCGCCAGTGTTGTGGAATTCTATGAGCAGTGTTTGGTATTATGTCTAAAACATTTACAATTTAAATAAAAAGCCTCCTTTACACATGGTTTAGAAACTTGAGTCAGTTAACAAATCGATTTCAAGCCTGAGGACTCTTTTGAATACATAAAAATAGAAAGATTTACCCGTCCCTTATCCGAATGGCCAACATCACGAGGACGTGCAGACTTGGATCTTTGAGGTGGACCGCCTATTAGAATAAAATTATCAAAGTGAGTACATGCTGTTGGAAAAAGCTGATAGACTTGCTAGACATAAGGTTGCCACAAATCTTCGATTTGTAAAAAACTCATTATCTGCACATTGCAATAGTAAAATAAGGCATGCCTTGAAAAGTGGGGTAAAACCGTGGAGTGGGGTTCTGGGGTGCTGCTGATCTATTTCTTTACCTAGGTGGTGGTAACCCAAGTATCTTATAATCGTCAGATTGCCCATGTTATAGCCACTTTTCTAAATTTATTTCACAAAAATAATCTTTAAAAATTCCAAGTAGATCAAAGATTCAGTTGTGAATATAAAACTTCATAGAAGAAAACAGTGTATTTATGACCTGAGGATTGAGGATCTGTTGAAGTCATGAAAAGCAAAAACCGTTAAAAAGATTAATAAATTCAGTATTACAAGGAAAAACATACATAAAGAAAAAAACTAAAAAGCTAAACCCCAACTGGAGAAAATACTGGCAGTGCTTGTAACTGACAAAGGATCAGCATGCAGAATAATTAACTTCAATAAAGAGAAACACACACACTCACACCCAAAATTTTAAATAGGCAAAGGAAATGAACAGGCAATTTACAAATAAGGCTTCCCAAATGTCCACTAAAGGTAAGAAAAGATGCTCACGAGCCCTTACCAGTGCTAGGGGAATGAACCACCGTTTCGTATCTGGCCAAAATGTTAAATTCTTACCAGATCCAGCATTAGCAAGTACAAAGCGTCTTCTGCTGATAGTAAAAAACTGGAACAGCCACAGTGCAGAGCAAAGGGAAAACGTCTTAAAGTTACACAAGCCTGACAAGACCCAGCATGTCCCAGGGGAGCCACGTGCAGCCCTGCTCATGATCACGCAAAACCGGGGGGAACCTGAATGCCCATCGACAGGACGTGTAACCATGGAAATAAACTCCGATGGAATCTACGTAGCTACTGAAATCAGCCACCTGGAGTTTTTAACGTATTAATGTCGGGAAGTCATAGAGAAAAAGCAAAACTGCAGAAGGACGCGCAGAGCGTGAAACAATGCCATAGGCTGCATATCCCTCATCTGAAACGCTTGGAACCCAAAGTGTTGCAGATTTCTGATTTTTTTGGATTTTGAAGTATTTGCAAATACTTACAGGTTGAGCATCCCGAATCCAAAATCTAAAATGCTCCAATGAGTGTTTCCTTTGAATGTCATGTCAGAGCTCAAAAAGTTTCAATGGTGGAGCATTTTGGACTTTCGGACTTGAGATGCTCAACCTGTATGTTAAATTATGGACACAATGTAGTAAAGGAATTGAAAAAGCCAGCACGGAATGCTAACAGGGTAGAAATGAGCTGGCGGAGCGTGGGACACACAGGGGCTTCAATTATATCACAGTGTTTCATTTCTTAGGTATAAATTCTTTGTTCTTTAACTCTGAAATATTTTACAAAAAGATCATGCAGCTTCTTACCTTGTGCTGGCAAATAATTCTTCCTGTATTTTTCTAGCTGGGCTCCTGAAGAAATTTGACTCTTTTGAAATCGAACAGATGGGTTCTGTAGTGCGGGAGACAATTTTGAACGCGAGTGTTAGTCGGCACGTTAGTCCACCGAGCGAGACTAGCAGAACTCGGTGACGAGAACGCCGTAGGCTGTTCATCCGTGTCGCTTTCATTTGTCACAGCAGGCCCAGGTGAACAAGCTGTTATCTAGGAACGAACTATATATACAACACACACAGACTCCTTCTGACCCACGTTCACTCAAGTTACGACACGGGCCAAGTAACCTAAACTGCCGTCTGACCGTTACCGACAGCAGAGGAGCGCGCAGGCCTCAGCTTGAGGGGCTCGCGAGGGCTCGCAGCGGCGTCCCCCAGGCTCTGGCCCAGACAGAGTCTAGCCAAGCCCAGCTCCCCCTGAGGACACGAGGACGAGGACGAGGGAGCCGAGTCCTCCCTGCCCCGCCCCCACTTCCAAACCAAATCAGCTCCCCCACCAGGAGCTGGTCCCAGCTTTGACTCGCGGTCCCCTGCACCGATCGCCTCGCCAGGCCGCTCCCCGCCACATGCTGCTTGAGGGCCGCCCTTCTAGGCGCCCCCCTCGCTCCCCTCCAGTCTGTCCTCTGCCAACCCCAGACCCGGCCATCGGCCATTGTCAGTACATCCCTGTCTGCAGTTACCAGCACTGCAAAATCTCAATTTCAAAGCATTCCACTTAAAAAGATCCAAAAATAATTAGCGTGCTGTCTTCAAAAAGTCAACACCATTTAATAAAATGCCAAAGTATTTAGGGGTGAGATGCCACTGTTTCTGCAATTTCTTTCAAATGGTTCGGCAAAACATAGGAAAATACGGCAAAATGTTCACAGTGGCTGAACCCTGGTAGGTGTTCGGGTGTTCTCTAGTTTGGGAGGGTGTTGTAATAAAAAGAGGGAGGGGAGAAGGCCACTTTCTGCCTCTTCGCAGTCGTCCTCTGGCACCCTGACCACGCCCACAGCTGACAGCGCCCGCGGGTCGCTGACCCACACATGTCTGCGACGCCCTCAGGACCTTCTGGCCTACGCCCTCCTAAGGCAGCTTACACCTCTGTTTGCTGCAGTCCCCACACACTCTGCCACCTCCCCTGGCCCTCGCTCACTTGGTGGCATTCACACCACACCCCTGAACAAGAAAAAACCAACGTGAACAATTCTCACCCAAACGTCTAACCTAGGTGGGCCCCAGGGTGGCATGAATCAGACCCCCCCAGGCCTCTGCTTTCGGCTCTCAGACGCCCACCTCACCTTTCTGCACGTCCCCCTCCCGCACTGGCTGGGGGGCGAGCTCCTGCCTCCGCGTGTCTGTGCTGGCGCCAGCTCCCCCTACTTCCCCCGCGTCAGTATTTTCCTCTCTAATCCCACCAACACACAAACACCCGTTAATTTCACCATCTTAAAAAAACCAAAAACTCCTTCCCCTACGGCCACTACCCCACCTCCTCACTTCGCTGCAGAGTTCCTCCAATGGGGCCTCCCCCTCCCGAGGGAGGGATTGCGCGCAGGCCATGGTTCTCCAGGTGGCAAGTCCCACGGTCCTGTCCTTACGAACAGCAGCCGCCTCCTCCTGAGGCCCCTTCCTCACCTGCCCAGGACACCATGCCAGCCTCCGCTCTTCTCACTCCCTGCTGTCCCGAGTCTGTGCCCAACAGGAACTCGTCCTGCCACACCGGGCTGCCTGGTCAGCACCTTCTGGGATGTCCAGAGGCAGTTCAAGCTTCCCTTGCCCAAGGCGGCGCTGCTGACAGCCTCGCTCTCTGCCCGTGGTCGTGGTCACTTGCAGTGAACGGGAACCGCATCAGGCTAAAACAAACCTACACCACACAACAGGTGGGGCCATTCCTGACTCCCTCCTCGCTGTCACCCCAACCAGCTCAGCAACAAACCCAGTCCATTCTCCACCCGCCACGGCTGCCCGGTCAGCCCACTGTCATCTGGGGTCTGAATCCCGGCAACGATCCCAACCTGTGTGCCTGGTGTCACTCGTGCTCCCTAGAACCCATTCCGAACGGCAGCAGAGGGGCGCTGACGGCCACATAGGCCAGGCCGCCCTCCTCCAGCGCCCTCCTCCTCCAGCGCCCTCCGGGGGCTCCCAGCCCACTCCAGGAAGGCCCGGTGCCCCCAGGGCCGCAGGAAGCTGACAGCTGTCTGCCCAGCCAGTCCTCTGTGCCCTGCAGGCGTCCCTTCCCCCTTCCTCGCCCCTTCCGCTCGCATCCGCCCCCCAGGCCACGCGTCTCCTCTTAGGTACAGTCTTTCTCCCGCGACTAGAATGTCCGCTCCATGGGGGTGAGCAATTCTGTCTGTTCTGTTCAGTGCTTGGGCCCCGCGGGCCTAAGGCAGTGCCTGGCACGTCCTCGTCATCAGCAGATGAAGGGAAGGCCGGCGGCTGGATGAAAAGGGTCGGCGTGCGGCTGCAGAGACGCCGCCCGGCTGTTCTGATTGCGGCCCATGGTGCGCGCCTGCTTCGTAGGAAGTGAAAGTGCCGCATAGAGCAATGCTTGCAAAGATTTTTGAATTGTGATAAAATATGTGTCACATGAAATTCACCACCTTAACCATTTTTAAGTGCACAGTTTAGGGGCATCGAGCACCTTCTTGCTGCTGTGCAGCCAGCGCCGTCAGCTCCAGAACCTTCCCATCTTGCAAGCCTGAAACTCAGTCCCCACTCCCCTGCCCACCCCGCTTCTGTCCATGTGACAGGGAAAGCTCAGGCGCCTGCCTGGCACGCCCTGCCCTGCCCAGACCTACCGCGGACTCGCCCTTCTTCCCGGCCCCTCGCGGGTCCGCCGTGGGGCCGCTCTCCGCGGCTGCCGCCTTCCTCCAGGCGTCCAGGCGGAACCTTCCCATCACCTTCATCTCTTCCCGGAGGTCCGTGTTCTCTCTGACCAACATTTCTATCTGGCTTCTCAGACGGCCGTGGGTACTTGACCATTTTGCTTCCTTTCTTTTTAAATCTTCCCGTAAATCTGCTATTTGCTGTTTTAAAGCCTCTCCAAAAAAAAAAAAAAAAAAGAAAAAGCATGAGTAGAATTAAGAATTCGAACAACGTAACAGAAGACAAGACACACGTCAGTGAGCCCGCACAGCCCAGCACAGACAGGCACGCGGAGGCGGCAGCAAAGCTTCTGCGCGCTGGGCCCTGCGGTCGGTCCCAGGAGGCAGGACAACCGCGCAGGAGCTGACCGTGACGCGCCAGGGGGATGAAGGCCTAACCCCAGACAGTCACTGAGAAGAACGAAGGGGATAGATGGGAGAGATCTGGTCAAGAGAAAAATCAACAGCAATCCGTGAATAACGGAAGGAAGCGTTGATATAAAGGAAGGATAAGATGCCAAAGTCCAAACTACATGCCCTAAAACTGATTCTCTCTGAAATGTGTGAGAAGAAACAGGTTTTAAGAAAATGAGTTGTTTTAGATGGACTAAGTAAGTGAAAAAACTGATGGAAATGTCTGGAAGCAACTTGAGATCACGTGTAGGTGCAGGTGAAGGGCAGTGGCCGAGAGCTGAGAAAAGGGGCACAGACAGGTGCCGGCGGAGGCCCTGAAGTGCACCCCGAAAACCCGCTCAGCGTGAGAGCCCGGGTGACGGGGGTGGCCCTGACCCCAGCCACCTCACGGCGACCACACAGCAGCCCAGGGGACCGAGGGAGGAACCTCCCCTCCGGGTGCCACATCACAGACGGCGTGGACTTTGGATTTGGTGAGATCAAGACTCAAATACGGGTTTCGTAACTTGAAAGCTTAAAACAAGGTCAAGAACTTCTCTGAACATCAGCTTCCCTATCTAAAAAATTGCGGATTACAACAAATAAATGAGAAATTTCTGGCAAGCATTTTTATGACGTAGGAAAATAGACTTACTAAAATGGAAACATACAAGTCTAAATGGGCTAAGAACTTGACAGCAAACGGTATTTATAAACTATCTACTATCAGGCACCATTACAGGTCCTTGGGCTGCCTCTGGGAGGGCCAGTGAGAGGGTGACAGCAGGGGCAGGTGCCCGAGGGCGCACGGGGGGGGAGGGGGCAGCACAGCACAGGGCGGGGCTCTGGACACAGATCGCAGGAAGACAACGCCCAGAAGCACAGATGCAGGCATGGGGCCAGCACAGGGGACCAGGGAATGACGGGAGGACTGGCAGAGGACAGGAAAGGGAGCGAGGCCAGGTCACATAGGACCTTGAGGTTCTTGTAGGAAGAAAGAAGTGGAGCCATCGAGGGTCTGAGCACAGAGAGCATGTGGCTGCCTCCGTACTGAACAAAGCCACAGGGACAGGCGGCTGGTGAGTCACTGATTCAGAGGTGGCAACTCGAATCTGGGTGGATTTTCTGACAGAACAGCCTGGAATGTGAGAGACAGAGATGCCTCGAGAATGATCCTAGGCCCCTGGCCTGAGCACAGGAGGATGAGGGGGACAGTCTGGGGGCCACGGGCAGACGTGCTGCAGTGTCCAGCAGCTATCGGACCGCGGTGGTCCAGGCTGGGTGCAAGCCCGGGGCCCAGCTTGCCAATCCTAACGTCGGCTCAGGGGCTGAGCCTCCTCCAGCTGCTGAGGTCGAGGGCAGGAAGCAGCAGCAGAGACGGGGACGGGGTGGCCAGGCATGGGGACCGCAGCCCCAGCTACCCTGGGAGGCACAGCGACTGCCACAGGGCAGTTGCAGAGAGTGGAAAGGCCAGAGGCCTAAATGAAGCTCATGTGGACGAAAGACAGCGAGATTTGGAGATCTGGGGACAGTGGAGGACAAGGCTTCCAAGGAGTTTTGCTGCAAAGAGAAACAAAGAAACAGGGCTGTGGGGTGTAGAGAGATTCTAGTTTAAAGAAACAGCAGCAGCTTCGCAACCGTGGGAAGACTGGACGGAGAGGAGGAGGGTGGAGGGGCGAGGCCGCTCGAGCGGGGCTGGCAGGGAGAAAGGGCACGGGCACAGCACAGGGCACAAGTGGCGGGACAAGGGGAGAGGAGAGGAACCAGAGCTGAGGGCCGGGCGGGAGTGAGACAGTGCGACGGAGCAGCGGGGAGGGGAGAGGGGTGACCGTCCAGGCTGACGCCCGCAGACCTGCCTGTCGGTGGGACCCCCAGGCGAAGGGCCGATTCCCAGCACGCGCGCAAGGGCGAGCTCAGGAGGCCGGCAGACTTCACAGCGCGAGGACCAGGCACTGCGAGACTCCCAAACCCGCGCAGCGCCGCCTGTCACGCCCGTCTGGGCAGCAGCGGAGGGCGGGCCAGCCCCTGCGGACCCTCACGCCGGGATCCAGAGGAACGCCCAGGAGTCGCTGGGCTGGGAAACTCGCACTGGGTACGAGCCTGACTTGAGGAAGGTGCCAAGTCGCCGCCCCCAGCTCTGTCCCCACAGCAGGCGCCAAGAGCCAAACAGCACGACGGCCACCCTTGGCGCCCGGCTGGCGGCTGGGAGAGCCGGGCTCCTTGGAGCGCGATGGGCGCCGGGCGGGGCGCCGGCTGTGGCAGGAAGCGGGCGCTCTCGAAACCGGGCAGCGCCAAAGGGCAAGGGAGCCCGTGGACGTACAGGGGCCCCACTGCGACGCTGGGACTTGCTCAATAGCAAAAGGGAAAGGCTGTGACTGAGTAAGGGTGAACGTAAATTCCGGGACAGAAACGTCCTGTTCATCGCCAATTCCCCAGCGATCAGAAGTGCCTGGCACACAACAGGGCGCTCCGTAAATTCAACGAGTGAATAAATACACAAAATAAAAGAATATTTTCAACAATAACACTAAGGAAGGTTAACTATGCCATCGCCATAATTTTTTGATGATTCAATAGAAGAGTATCGATACCTATATGTTTGTTTTATACTAAGTATATCTCTGTCTCGAAAGTACATTTCTGCACAGCAGAAAGAAAGGCCATACAGGGAACTACGAATAAGCCAAATAGAGTAAGAAAATGAACTGCACCAAAACCAGAAAGAAATAATAAATACCCACGGTCGCGCGTGATAGCCAAGCATGAAAAGGGTCCGATACTGAAATCGACGCAAGTCCCATAAACTAAGGAAGCAGAAAGCGAGTTCAAGAAGGCGTCCCACACCCTGGAGAGGAGAGCCGCGGGCCGCCCCCGCCCTGTCGCCCGCTGCCGCCTCTCGCCAGCCCCGTGCCAGGCTTCCCGCCGCGCCGCGTGCCCACTCGGCCGCTGTCCACCGCGCTAGCCGCCAGCCACACGGGGCTGTTACGGCCTGGAAATGCGGCTAATGTGAATGAGAAATTGAAGCTTTAATTAATCTATTTTTAATTAATTTAAATTTAGATAGCCACGCAGGGCTAACGGCTAACAGCCTGGACAGCACAACCTGAGAGAATCAGGGGACAGAGTCTGCGAGGGAAACAAACGAGGTTGCAAGACAGTAAAACCCCCATGTATCCACCTAACAAAGTAAAACAGAACTACAAAAAGAAAGCTCATCTGCTCTGGTTTGGATAGCCTTGGAAGAAACAATGAGGTCCTGAGCTGTGAGAAAGAGGGCAAGAGGGAAAAAGAAAACAATCTCATAAGCTTGGGTGGCCTAAGGAGGTTATTTTTCCCTTTGGGGCTGCAAGATTTTCATAAGATAGCAAGGTATCAAAATACGTATCACTCTAACCCTAGGGGATCTAGAAACAAGAAAAATGAAATGACATATCCATCATATAGGTATTTTAGAATTGGCTATGGTTTTTAATTTAGTGAAGAGTTTTCTGATACCCGAATTTGATTATATTTTAACTACTGTTCAAAGTATTTGAAATGTTCACCAAAAAAAGCCATACTAAATTTGTAACTATAACTCAGATTATTTAAAGGAAATTCACTTAAATTTAATGTTAATTTTTAATATTTAACCTATCAGGAGAAGAGCAAAAAAACTCTTAAGAATTGCTAATGGAATTAAAAATTGGCATGGTATTTATGGAAGGGTAATCTCACAATATTTATCAATATACATACCCTTTAACCTAGAAATTTCACTTCTAGGAATTGGCCCTACAAATATATTCCAGGACGTAAGCTACATAGGTCATGATTTGTACTCCCAGTACATGGCTGCTACACAGTAGGTTCCAGCAACCACATGTTGTTGAGTGAACTAGTAGGAGAATGACCGTGAGGGGTGACACATGCACAAGGTTATTCAGTACAGCACTTCCTGTAACTTGAAAAAGAGCAGAAATAGCATCAATGCTCAGGTAATTAAACTATGGCACATTATATTGCTATTCTATGTAATGATAAATAATGATGCTCTTTCTCTTAAGATATATAATGATTTCAGCGCACTACCATGAATGTTAAAAACTCATGAATATATATGTATACACTAAGAATTTCTCTGGGAAGATGTAAGAGACTGATAACACTGGTTGCCTCAAGAGAGGTGAATCGGAATGGAAACAAATCAACTGTAAAAAGACACCCTGAACAATCAGGGCAATCTGAATATGGACTAATTATTAGTGGATATTAAGGAATTACTGTTAATTTGGTTAGCTGTGACACAGGTATGACACATCTTTTAGAAGGTAACTTTCTCAGTTATGGAGATTATTTACAGGTGAAATGATCAGATATCTGGGATTTAATTTAAAATATTACAGATTAAAAAACAAGGCCGGGCGCGGTGGCTCACGCCTGTAATCCTAGCTCTCTGGGAGGCCGAGG